ATGTTTTTCAGGATTATAAGATGAATTCAAGTTGTATATAAGTAGCACTTGTTAATTCTTTGCCAGCTTCTGTGCATATAAGGATGCTTGTGATTTTGGAAGAAAAATCAAAACCATATAGATTTCTAATTGCCCTCTGGGCACGTATGTTTTGTCTTAGATTCTACCGAGCTGCCCAAGCGCCTCAGCCTTGACAGCTCTTCCTCCCTGGAGTCTCTGGCCTCGGCCCAGTCTGTCTCCAACGCCCTGCCCTTGGGCTACCAGCACCCTCCCTTCTCGCCCACCGGCGCAGACAGCATCGCCTCGGATGCCATCTCTGTGTACAGTCTGAGCTCCATCGCCTCCTCAATGAGCTTCGTCTCCAAGCCCGAGGGTGGGTCAGAAGGTGGGGGCCCCCGAGGACGGCAGGACTATGACCGGGCCAAGAATGCTTACCCACAGCGAGCCACCCTGCCTCGAAGCCCGCTGTCCCCACAGACCCGCCCTGCAGGCAGCAAAGACGAAGAAGAATATGAAGGGTTTTCCATCATCAGCACTGAGCCTTTGGCGGCCTACCAAGAAAACAGAAAGACACGCTTCTCCCCAGATCACAAACAGTCCCGAGTTGGCACAGCTGGAGGTGTGAAAGTTTCAGTCAGCTCCAAGGGGAGCATAAGCACTCCAAATTCTCCAGTTAAAATGACTCTCATCCCCAGCCCAAACTCACCCTTCCAAAAGGTTGGAAAACTAGCAAGTTCAGATACAGGAGAATCAGACCAGTCTAGCACAGAAACAGATAGTACCGTGAAATCCCAAGAAGAAAGCAACCCAAAGCTTGATCCACAAGAGTTGGCCCAGAAAATTCTAGAGGAGACACAAAGTCATCTCATCGCAGTGGAGCGTCTTCAGAGGGGTGGCAGTCAGACCAGCAAGAGTAGTAATCCGGAAGATGGCATTTCCATGCCAAATAGTGCCGCTGTCTTCAGAGCGTCAGAAACAAGTGCGTTCAGCAGGCCTGCCCTCTCCCATCAGAAGAGTCAGCCGTCGCCTGTTACTGTTAAACCAAAGCCCCCAGCCAGGAGCTCGTCCCTGCCCAAGGTGAGTTCCGGGTACAGCAGCCCCACCACCTCGGAGGCGTCCATCAAGGACAGCCCAAGCCAGCACAGCGGCCGGCCGTCGCCCGGCTCCGACTCCCAGACTTCTCTGACCGAGCAGCCGCTCTTCAAACTGAAGTATCCCAGCTCTCCTTACAGTGCGCACATTTCCAAGTCACCGAGGAACATGTCCCCAAGCTCAGGCCATCAGTCTCCTGCCGGTAGTGCCCCCTCCCCGGCTCTCTCCTATTCCTCAGCTGGCTCTGCTCGCTCGAGTCCAGCTGATGCTCCCGACATAGACAAACTGAAAATGGCAGCCATTGATGAAAAGGTGCAGGCTGTCCATAACCTGAAGATGTTTTGGCAGAGCACACCCCAGCATTCCACAGGACCGATGAAAATATTCCGAGGGACCCCTGGAACGATGACTTCCAAAAGGGATGTCCTTAGTCTACTAAATTTGTCACCTCGGCACAACAAGAAGGAGGAAGGAGTAGACAAGCTTGAACTGAAGGAGCTGTCTTTGCAGCAACATGGAGAAACACCACACAAAGCCCCTCCCAACGGCCACTGGCGCACGGAGACCACCACGCTGAGCACGCTGCCACTGCCCGCAGGCCCTCCTGCCGCGGCTCCCACGCGCCCTTTGAGACTTCCTTCTGGAAACGGCTACAAGTTTCTGTCCCCAGGAAGATTTTTTCCTTCCTCCAAATGCTAAAGCATCTGAAGACCCACTGACTCAGAGCGCAGCAGCCGCAGAGAGGGGCCCGGCACTCACGTGGCCGGCTCCGTCTGAGTGCGGTCACCCCACACAGCCACCAGCCCCCGGGGCGCTCTCCGGGCACGGGGCACCACCATGCCCAGGCGCCACCACACACACGGCTGGTGGCTCCTCTGGGACTCGGGGCCAGATTCACCAAAAGCCAGGACTTCTGTGGGGTTGGTACAGGAGGCTCATAGAATTTTCTACACACTTCACCAAATGTTTACCTTTGAACTCCCTGCTTCTCATCTTCAATGCGATTCTTCGACAGGATTTTTGTACAAACGTGGTCATGGTTTGAGGGCGGGGAGAGCAAAGGGAGCACATATTTTGCTAAGAGGTATATATGCAGTACCTTTTATACACAAATACAAATAGAGCTTTTTTAAGGCTTTCAGGTGCTGGTTGGGGTGGGATATAGAAAATCTAAGTTGAATTCTACATGAAAGTGTTATATTAGCCAAAAACAGAATAATGGTTTTAAAAATGCCAATGATTTGTAATTGTAGCGATTTTGGTCTCGTGATATTGTAAGGTCACACTAACAATGCAATAATTCCCGTCTGAACAGCGCTTCCATCCTGAACTCTGCTCGGCTCCATCGAGCGGCACAAATGTCCCTGGGGCCCCGCTGTCAACCAAACTTGAATTTTCTTAAAAAGTTTATGTAGCTTTTATCCAGGCATTTTAGAACTATGCAATTGTGATTTAAAATGCAACTTTGTGCTTTTAAAACATTATCGACCTTTTTTGTACGTGGATAAACAACTTGGTTTTATTATCAATAGTACTTTGCATTTATAGCTATTATTTTTAAAAGCTCAAAAAGTTTTTTAAAATGTCAAATTTTGAATAATCATCAATAAGTATCAAGTTTGGGGGGAAGGTTGAAATTATTCAGTTTCCTTATAAGCAAAAAAAAAAAAAACCCCATGCTAACTTAGATTTAACGAGAATCTAGCCTTCCAGCTCCTCTTCGCTTTATCAGCTGCTTAATTTTATTCTCTTTTCCCAACTCCAGGCCTCTGAAACCTCTTCTGTCTAGTCTAAATCTGTTGCCAGGTTCCCACAATCCCCCCTCCCCGTGTCTGAGCGGCATATGGACCCTCGTCTTCCCTGTGCCCAGCGCTCCTTGCTCCTGTGGTCTGGAGGACCACCCCCCACCCCCCACCCCACAGACCAGCGTCCACAGCCTGAGAAGCAGGGCGCTTTTACTGGGCTTTACATCCAAATTATTGCTGAACAGGGAAATAGAGCTCCCTGAGAGTGTTGTCATCGGAAACAAAGGGGGGCTTCTTCTATAGCTATGACGGTGCACTGAAATTCTAGCCAGCTGAGATGAGACAGAAGAATAGTCTGGGTAGCGGATAGGGGTAACCATTCACTTATTTCGGTAAAGAATGAAGTGCTGAAAATCCTATTAGTACTAAGTTTAGTTGGAGAACTTAAATCAGCCTCTTTTTGATAATTCTAAAATTAAAATCCTACTGTCCTCACTCACGAAAGCAAACAATAAGGATGTCCATTCTAACCCTGATCCCAGCACTGGAAGAGAAATACTTTATAAAGAAGCAAGCAATTATGAGGTTGTCTTTATGTCAGTAGGGAAAAAATAAATGGTAATAAAAGTACCAGTGTAGCAAAGGAAAGCCGTTTATAGCACTGTGCGTTTAAGTAGCAAAATCAGGTCCTCAGCAACGAGAACCCAGCCTCAGTCAGTTTCTGGATCCATGTGCCGACAGCCAGGCTGCTCCTTCCTCAGCACATCGCAGCCTCTTTCCTAAGTGCCAGGGAGGCCTGGAGGGAGGGCTGGGGGCCGGGCTCCCTCTGCGGGGGTGACGCTGTGTCCCGTCTGCCTAGCTCCAGTGCACACCCGCTGCCACCCGCTCTGCTTCCCGTGGTTGCCGAGCCAGCCAGCAGGACTCCCCTCACCCGGGTTTAGTCCCAAGTACATTGTTCTTTTAGGTTTCATGTTGAAAAGCCAAGTGGTCTAAGTGATTTTTTCTGTCCTAGACACAAGCTTCAATAAAGGAAAGCAAAGATGATGAAACAGCAGGACCAGTCTAAAAATCACTGTAGAGTTGCTGCTTTATGTTTACTGTCAGTCTGGTGTTAAGTGAATCTTTCAGGCTACACTGAAAAAAGTATGCACTTAAAACTTAGGTGAGATTGTATAATTCACAGATTTCTTTGTACAGGTCAGGGGTTGGCAAACTACAATCCCTACAGGCTGAACCTGGTCAGAGGCCTGGTGCTTCACAGCCAAGAGCTAGGAATGGGTTCCACATTTTTAAATAGTTACATAAATACCTACATAATATTCTTGATTTTGCTCTTGGCCTACCAAGCCTAAAATATCTAATGCCTAGCCCTTTAAGAAACAGTTTGCTGACTCCTGGTATAGGTGCCAGAAAACAATTAGAATATGTTTTTTTCTACAGCCTAGGGAAAGGGAGTGTCGGGCTGTGGATGAATTGATGGGCGTGCGTGGGAACCCTGAGCCACGTGGATGGAAGCGAATGACTCCTGCCTGATCCCGCGGCTCTTTGCCCCATTTGGAAGGAATCAAAGGATGTGGGTAAAATTTGCAAAGAGATTTTTCCCTGGTCATAGGCAGACAGCGTTGGCTATGTTTTTCAGCTCAGGAAACTGGAATGTCCTGCCCCTCCTCCGCTCCATCAGACGCACGTACACTGAACACAGCAATAAGATCTCCCCATCCTAGAAACCTGGGTCTGACCACAAAGCAAGGCAGCAGACTCGCTCTTGATTCTCACCAGTGGACCACTCAGCTCCTTTGCTGACTTTAACTAAGTCAAAATAGCAAGACAGAATTAGCTGCTAAAACTGTTCTGCTCTACATTAGCGTGTAGGAAAATGAAAAAGCTCTCACCTTCTTCCCCTTCGAAAAACTTCATGGTCCACACTGATCCTTGCTGGGCCTGAGCAGGAGACGCGTGCCGCCCACACTCCTTGTCCTGCTCGCGTCTGTCCCGGCGACCCTCCGCAGGGGAGCCTTGTAGCAAGTCCCCACTATGGTGCCTGTCCCACCGCTTCCCGCCACAAGGAGAACTGTCACTTTGCTAGTTTCAGTTCAGGTTGGAAAAAATACCACACGAGAATCTGGTTTGCTTTTAGTAAGTAGGCAGAAAGTGAAAATTGTATAATTTTCATCACGTTTTATTGTTTTATCTAAAATGATTGTACATGTGGTTTGTGAACTGGGCCCTTATTTGTGCCAGATCCTTCAACGACGTTCCATGTAAGGACACACGCGGTCACTTCTCCCGTCCTCAGACGCCGTCCCACTTGGCACTCACGCCCCTTGTATGCAGTGTTAGCCATCTTTGGCCTATGTGGACTTTTTTTTGTAAATTACACAGTTTCCAGATGGCATTAAACTTTTTATATTACGAAATTTACCATGTAAAAAGAACTTCATATTTTTATTGAGACTGCTAAGGCACTTGGCCTTCCTTTGTGATTTCAGTGTCTATTAAAGCATGAGCTCCCTCGGTTTTAAGAGCTGTATCTGACTCACTTTCTATGCACATCCCACACTTTTTCTGGGTTTCTTTGCGGTACACAGTGCGGTCGTGTGTCGTTAATCCATGTGTCTCCATCTGGAGTTTCTCTTCTAGATGCACTGTAGCCCCACGTTAGCCATGAGAGCCTGAGAAAGTGCGTGGCTGTCCCGAGGCTCCGGTACCTGTGGGTGGTGGTGACTGAGACGTTGAATGCTTCTGATCTTGTGTGATCATAGCTGGAGGGCCAGAGAACCCTACGGTTGTAGAGACAAATAAAAACAATTCATTACCACCAGACCCCTGTATCTAAAGAAACTTTCCGAGAAATATTTGAGAAAGAAGGAAAACAGTCCTAAAGGGAAAAGTCTGAGAAGCCTGAAGGCTAGTGAACAAAGAACTAGGTAAATGGGAATAAATCGCAACAAATATTGATTGATTGCATAAAGAGCAATGTCTCATTTGGATAGCAATAGAAACATTAAAATACTAGACAATAATATATGAAATAAGTTAAAGTGTTATAGGTTGGGAAGAGAAGAAAGAGTAGATTATTATTATTTTTGCTGAGGAAGACTGGCCCTGAGCTCACATCTGTGCCAATCTTCCTCTATTTTGTATGTGGGATGCTGCCACAGCATGGCCACTGACAAGTGTGGGTTCATGCCCAGGGTTCTGAACCTAGGCCACTGAAGCAGACCACGCCAAACCACTACACCACGGGGCCTGCCCCAAGAGTAGATTATTTTTAGAGTAACTTAAATATGCATAATCACATGCACAAAAAATAGAAATAGAGGGTTATACTTCCAAACTAGTTAGTGGAGGAGAAATAAGTGAATTTTTAAAAACCTGGTTGATCTAAAGGAATAGAAAAAGGACGGAACAACAACAAAAACCATTTTAAAAGCAGGACAAATAGAAAACAAGGTTAAAGAAAGAAAGAAAAGTGGGACTGGCCCTGTGGTCGAGTGGTTAAAGTTCTGTATGCTCTGCTTTGGTGGCCTGCATTCACCAGTTCAGATCCCGGGCACAGACCTGTACCACTTGCTGGCCATGCCTTGGAGGCATCCCACATATAGAGTAGAGGAAGATGGGCACGGATGTTAGCTCAGGGCCAGTCTTCCTCAGCAAAATAAATAAATAACCAGTAATCATTATAGATGTCAGTGAACTAAACAATTAAAAAGACTGACAGATAATGGCAATGTATAATATGCTCTTTAAAGAACTATATGCTGTTTGAAATTTTTAAAAAACTACCAAAGGGCCACAAATGGTTGACAGTAAAAGGATCAGCAAAGTAGTTATTAAAAAGGCACTAATAAAAACAAAGATCTATTTTCTAATGTTTAAAAAACTTAGCAGAAAGGTAAAATTCTAAATTTGTATGCAGCTAACCATGCAGCTTCAAAATTCATAAAGTAAAAATTGGCAGAACTCCGTGTGGAAAGTACACTATCATAGTGGGAGATGCTCCCTCCTACTCTCACTAACTCCCGGATCAGCGTACAAACTTAGAAAGCACGCTGTAGGGTTAGACGATGGAGCAAACAGGCTTAGAAGGGGAGGGGAGAGAAGCTGGTCTCCGACAGCGGCCCTGCATGCTTCACGAGCACGCACGGAGCACTGCATGAAAACACCGTGCACGGGGTGTGTGGCAAGTCCCAGCAAATACTGAGGAGTCAGTGTCACGGCCACCATCTCTGCTTACACGCTACCTTCAGGAAATACATAAATTATATAATAGCTTAAAGATAAATTTTAAATTCCATAAAAATTAGTGGGATGCAGTTAAAGTGGCACTTAAAAGACAAATTTATAGCCATAAATGTTATATTCAAGGGTAACCTTCAAAATACATAACTGCATGAGCTCCAGCCAACAAGGAGGGCTGCCCGTGCCACGATCCCAGTGAGAGCTGGCACACGCTGGGACAGCAGGCTCACCACTGAGCCGGCGGCCAAGCCCTAAGCAGTTAGCAGAACAACAAACCCAGCAGGAAAAGAAGGGAGGGGGTAAGGACAGCCAGAAATTAACACAGACGACAATATAGAAGATCCAGACGGGCCAAGTTCGCCAAAAAGACAAAAATACACTAACTTCTCAAAAGGTTGATTGTGTGCACGTGTGTGTGTGAGAGACAGATTGACAGAGAAGAGGAAAGGGAAGAAAAAGTGGGTATAGCTAAAGATGCAGCACAGATTAAAAAATAAAACACTATAAACAATTTTATGCCAACATAGTGCAAATGCAGAATGGCGGCTCACGGGGTTCAGGCACACACGCGGTTGGGGGTGCAGAAGGGGCAGGAGAGCGGCGCCCCGCTGGGGAGGGAGGCGCTGGGGAGTGGGTGTCGGTGACTCCAACTGCACAGCACGGTATGTAACACACACCTCCACGTGGTCCCAGACAGGAACTGTTTCATCATGAATTTACGAATGAGCGAAAAGCATTATTAGCAACTACATAACAATAAATTTCATTATACTAACTTAAAAAAAAGTGTTAGTTCTGGTGCAAGAAGGACAAAAAACCTGACTAAGGTCCATAAAACTAAAATAGTAATCACAACTCCTTTGCCTTTATGCAACTCTCCAAAAAATGCAGGCTCAGATGCTTTTACGTGTTTTTACCACACTTTCAGGGCCAGTTAATTTCTGTCTTTTCAAATAGTTTAAGAAAATATAAAAACAAGATATGCAAATTACTTCATGATGCTCTTCTTAATTCTAAGGTCAACAGATAGAATAAGAAAACAATAGGCCCATTTCACTTATAAACCTGGACATAACAATCCTAAATAAAATATTGGCCATTAAATCCTTATATTTTTAAAACTAGGAAAACACAGGTTGAAAGTGCATCTGCGTGTTAGTCTTTGCTGATGACCACACACGTGTCCCTCCGGGGCCAGAGCTCTGGCCCTCAGGGACATCTGTAGACACCACACAGGGAAAAACAAGAAGCATTAAACCGCGGAGAATGTTACTATCTTGAGAACTACGAAGTCAATGGTTTACATGGTAATTAGGCAGGAGGCCCATCTATCACACTCCTGTTACAAGAACAGTGAAATATAGATGTCAATGTAAAGGAAATGCCAAGCAGTCCTACCATTTCTTAAGGAACGATGTAAGAACCGGCTATTACTGCTGCGCTGGAAACTGAATTTAACACCATAATGTGTTGAGGAAACCTAAGGACCAAAGGTTAACGCAGCACCGCACAAGGATTTGTGAGCACCATGCGTGGTCCCTATCACCTTAGGAAATACGATTGATGCTCTCCGTTACTGCCGAAGAATTTGCACAGCCACTGGTGCAACACACGTCTTGTTGATGCTTCCCTGGAAGGAGAGTGTGGCCTTGATGACCATTTGCTTAGGCGCTGAGGACCTCAATCGAGAGCTGACACACAAGACAGGGCTGAGCAGGTCTGCTCTGAGCTCCCGCAGCTGCGCTTGAATATTCCTATTCTAATGCTTTCTTTATAGTCGCTTTGTTTTGTTGTTTCAAACCTCAGAATTTCTGGACAGGGACCGCAGCTTGGTACCTTTCTCAATTTAAAAGCTCCTTCAACTTTCCCAATGAGTGTGCCTGCTCGCAGCCTCTAATAATACTAAATAATGGCAAACAGCAGGGAGCTGACAGGCTAATGCTGCATCCACTCCAGCAAATGAGGCCGAAACATCTGGATCCAAAGACATTAAAGGGACGTGTCGGCATTAAGGAAACATTTTGCCTCTCAAATGAATTTACATCCAATCTCAAGATTTTTATTAAATTTGTAGCAACTGTGCATTTGGGCTTCAGGGAACAATAATATTCTTAAAGATATAAATATTCTCAATATGTTTCTATTAAATAGAAAGTTCTAAAATTCTAAAATAACTTTACATCGCAGAAGCAGAACTCAAAGCCTGCCCTTTTAGTTAACTGGGACAGGTACATGAATCGGAATTCTGATCTGCCTGGCAGCATTTTGCCAAAAGTCTGATTTTTTTTTTTCATACACAGAGCTTTCTGAAATATAGTCATTTTCTTTTTGAGCCCAAAATGCGAGAGTAAAATAAAAGTGATAGGTAATTAAGAAAAAAAAAGAGGCAGTTCTTATCTGTCATTTCAAAAGTCACTCATTCCACAAATATTTGCTGAGGGTTGTTGTGATAAATAGAACGTAGCCAATAAAAAATAAACAAGCAGAAAGTTAAAATTGGTATTAAAAAGTCCATAAAATAAAGCCTGTGTACTTCACTTAATTAGATGCCATCCTCGCCAGTATTACACACAATTCCAACAGCTGCGCGAATCAAAATGCCAATCACTGTGCCTCCCACCCACGGCCCAGCCTGAGGGACGAGACAGCGTGTTCCCCGTGGAAGGACCCACGGCCCCGGCTGCAGCTGACTAGGCCAACCCCGTGCGAGGTCAGAACCTTCGGAAAAGTCCCGGCATCAGCTGCCTTTTCTCATGAACTCAACGCAGGAAATGCTGACTAGATGCCGCTGAAGAGAAAACCTAAAGGTAATGAGGGAAACTGAGGCCAGCGGAGCCGGCACAGCCATGTGCAGGCCAGGGGTGCAAAACCGATGAGCGAGCCGAGGAAGCCAGCAGTGGAGAGAGGACCTGGAGAGAGACAGACAGCTTCGGGCCACGCTGCGGGGCCACGTTCCGTTCCTTTCCACTTGGGGTAACTTAAATGGGACTTTTTTCCTTTCGATTTAGTGGCCTTCATTGTGACTCTTTGAACCCACGGCACAACAGGAGCCAGAAGAGGAGCAGGACGGAGGGCTGCGGAGTCAGGCAGGTGGGAAACCAGACAGAAATGACAGGAAGGAATTGAGTTACACATGTATGGCTTCGGACGCCTGGATGGAGACAAACAAGACAATCGATCAGAAGAGAAGTCCCACGGCCATTCCTACGACTCACGCTCTGCCTGCCTCCTGTTACACTGCGGGTGGAGCTGTCGGGTCCCTCTCCGCGGCCACCACCCCCACCTGCCAGACCCACCGTCACTGCCCACTACAGGTCGGCGCGTCAGTAATTCCTTCCTCTCCGGGCCGTCGCGCTCCTCCTCTCAGAGGAACCCTTCCTCTCAGCACAGACACGTGCGGTCGTCGCTCCACTTCAGCCCCTCATCCCCATCCAGCCAGCAGCCCACTTCTCTGCTCTCCTTCCAGAACAAAGCTTCCGACGGGTCTATACGCAGTGTCACCAATCCCACTCTTCCTCTTCTCTCTTGAACCCCCTCA